AGTCTTTTAAAAATTCCACTTTCTCCACAAATGTCTTCTTTAGTTTCACCTCTGTCTTCCTGAACAGAAAGTCAACTCTCCCTTCCTCTATACCCTTACCCATCAATTAGAGATCTTACCACTCTAATTTCTGATTTGGCTCATTAGAGATTATTTCCCCTAATAGATTATAAGCAACTGGAAAGCAAGGTCTGCATCATATTTATCTTGGTCTCCTTATTAAATCTAACTTAATACCCAATATCTACTAGTCTTTTTTAGAGTTGCCCATTTATTAGTGTTCAATGAACCGCTGTATTTTATTTTATTATTTTTTTAATTTTTAAAGTTAATTTTTTAATGTGAGTATAGTTAACACACAGTGTTACATTAGTTTCAGGTGTACATCTTAGTGATTTGGAAACACTGTATTTCAAAATTCCAGTTTTATACAGCTTCTTATGACAATATTTCCCCAGCTACTGAGCTGATTTTGAAAGTATCTTACATTTAGTTTACATGTGAAATTTAAAAATTTAAATCTTATAACTGCACAGTTTGTCCAATACTCAAAAACAAATACTGATTATGAATGAGTGAATTTGCTGTCATTGTTTCATTAACTATTAAAATCGCTCTTCAATCTTAGTTTTTTATTTTCAGATCCTTTCAGTAAGACATAGAACTACTTCAAATCTAGCATCTTTGAATGATTATTCTGTGAAACAGGTAGAATAAGCTATTTTTATTGAGGTTTAATTGACATGCAATAAACTGCACATATTTAAAGTGTATAATTTGATAAGTTTTGGAATATGTATATACTTGTGAAACCAGTACCACAATCAGATTAATGAACATTTCTATGATTCCCCCAAATAGTCCATCTCTCCTTACTTCTCCCAACTCCCTATCCCACACAACCATGGATCTGCTTTCTGTCATTTGATTTGTTTGCATTTTCTAGAATTAAAAAAAAAAAAAGAATCAAATAGTATGTACTCTCTTTTGTATGGCTTCTCTCAGCATAATTTTTATGAAAATTTACCCATGTTGCTGCATGTACTAATTGTTCATTCATTTTTATTGCTGAGTACAGTATTCTATTATATGGATATATGACTATTCATATATGCTCCTATTGATCAATTTTTGGGTTGTTTCCAGTTTTCAGGTATTACAAATAAAGCTATATATATTCTTTGTATAGACATATGCTTTCTTTTCTGTTGGGTAAACATCAAGAAGTGAAATGACTGGGTCATATTAATAGGTATATGTTTAACTTGTTAAGAAATCACTGAACTGTTTTACAAAATGGTTATATAATTGCAACTTCACCATCAGTGTGAGGTCCAGTTCCTCCACATCTTTGCCATTGCTTGCAACTGTCTTTAATTCTAGCCAGTCTAGCAGCTGTGAAATGGTATCACACTGTGGTTTTAGTTTGCATTTTACTAATGTCAATTGAAGCTGAGCATCTTTTTACAAGTTCATGTGCTAATCCTATATCTTCCTTGGAAAGTGACTATTCAAATTTTTTGCTTCCTTTATTGAATTGTTTGTGTTCTTACTGTTGAGTTTTAAGAATTCTTTATATATTCTAGATACAAGTCCTTTATCAGGTATATTATTTGCACTTTTAAAAGAGAAATGCAACTATTTTATTTTATTTTTAAGATTTTATTTATTTATTCATGAAAGACAGAGACAGAGACAGAGGCAGAGGGAGAAGCAGGCTCCCAAGGAGCAGGGAGCCCGATGAGGGGCTAGATCCCAGGACCCTGGGATCATAACCTGAGCCAAAGGCAGACGCTTAACCGACTAAGGCACCCAGGCACCTGAAATGCAACTATTTTAGATAATTATGCTTTGTCAATATTATAATACATGGTCTATCTGTATTTTAAATAATCCTTATAAAAAGGGAACCGTTATCTCCATAATCTTCCACTACCAATTTTTCCCATGCCTAATCAAGGTGGGCAGCCCGCTGGCATATAAAAACAGAGAGAATAAGAATAGAAATAGAAAACATACTGATTTTCTCAACATTCTTCTTAATCCCTCCTGATTTTAAGAGCCTCTTAGGAAACTATTAGTAGGAGGTAACAGAGTGGATCATGTAAACGATAATTAGTTCTCTTCCTTGTTTCTTTTAAGCAAAATTTTAAAAAGCATTTAGCAAGTCATAACATTATTACTAATAAAACCTTCTGTACTTTTTATTAGATTTCTCTCTCATACTAAGACCTTATGTTTACATGAATGTTTTCCTCATCGGGCTAAAGCAAAACATTCAATATAGTACCTAGTGAATATTGCTATTATTTTTGTTGATTCTCTCCTTTTTTTTTCTTGTTGTTGTCTTGTTGTTGTTGTTGTTTTTATGGAGCCCTGAGATCAAGACTTGAGCTGAGATCAGGAGTTAGACGCTTAACCGAATGAGCTACCCAGGTGCCCCTCTCTCCCCTTTTCTTTTAAGTGGAATTCATAGAAAGAACAGCAGAGATTCTACTAAGTGAAAAAATGAAAGCCTTTTTTAGAGTATCCATGTAAATCAGTACTCCTTGCCAGAATAAAGCATACACATAATTATTTTTTAAACTTTACTATTTAATGGATTGAAGACCTAAATGTGAGACCTGAAACCATAAAACGCCTAAAAGAAAACACAGGCAGTAATCTGTGGGACATCAGCCTTAGCAACACATTTATGGATTTTTCTCAAGCAAGGGGAACAAAAGCAAAAATAAAATATTAGAACTACATCAAAATAAAAAGCTTTTACACAGGTAAGAAAACCACCAATAAAACAAAAAGGCAATCTATTGAATGACAGAAGATATTTGCACATAATATATCCAATAAGGAGTTAATATCCAAAATATATAAAGAACTTACACAACCAACACCAAAAAACAAACAATCCGATTAAAAAATAGGCAAAGAGGCACCTGAGTGGCTCAGTCGGTTAAGCGTCTGCCTTCGCTCAGGTCATGATCCCAGGGTCCTGGGGTTGAGGCCCACATCAGGCTCCATGCTCAGCGGGGAGTCTGCTTCTCCCTCTACCGCTTCCCCCCCCCGCCTGTGCTCCCGCTCTCCCGTGCTCTCTCTCTCGAGTAAATAAATAAAATCTTTAAAAAAAAAAATAGGCAAAGGACCTGCATAGACATTTTTCCAAAGAAGACATACAGATAACCAACAGATATATGAAAAGATGCTCAATATCACTAATCACCCAGGAAATGCAAATCAAAACCACGATAAGATACCACCTCACACCTGTCAGAATGGCTATTATCAAAAAGACAAGAAATAACAAGTGTTGACAAGGATGTGGAGAAAAGGGAACCCTTTTGCATTACTGGTGGGAATGTAAACTGTAGCAACCACTGTAGAAAACAATATGGAGGATCCTCAAAAAATTAAAAATAGAACTACCATGGGGCGCCTGCATGGCTCAGTCAGTTAAGCGTCTGCTTTCCGCTCAGGTCATAATCTCGGGGTCCTGGGATTGGGCTCCATGTCAGGCTCCTTACTCAGTGGGGAGTCTGTTTCTCCCTGTCCCTCCACCCCTACCCCTCATTCATGCTCTCTCTCTCTCTCTCTGTCTCAAATAAATAGATAAAATCTTAAAAAAAAATAGAACTACCATATGATCTAGCAATTCCACTGCTGGGTATTTACCCAAAGAAAACAAAAACACTAATTCAAAAAGATACATGCATCCCTATGTTTTAAAGCAGCATTAACAAGATATGGAAGCAACCCGAGTGTCCATCAGCAGATGAATAAAGAAGATGTGCTATATAAATACACAGGATGGAATATTACTCTGCCCTTAAAGAATGAGATCCTGCCATTCACAATATGGAGGGACCTAGAGGGTATTATGCTAAGTGAAATAAATCAAAGAGAGAAAGACAAAGACCATCTGATTTCATTTATATGTGTAGTCTACAAAACAAAACAAACAAACTCTTAAATATAAGAGAACAAACTGGTGGTTGCCAGAGGGAAGGGGATTAGGGGGATGAGTGAAATACGTGAAGGGGATTAAGAGATCCAAACTTTCAGTTATAAAATAAGTAAGTCCTGGAGATAAAAAGTACAGCATAGAAAATACAGTCAGTAACATTGCAGTAACTTTGTATGGTGACTACACTCATCCTGGTGAGCACTGAGTAACACATAGAATTGTCAAATCACTGTTATACACCTGAAACAAATAGAACATTGTATGTTAACTATACTTCAATTAAAAAAAAAAATGAAAACTTTACAATTTAAGACTTCAATCTATCCAGCAATGCAAAAACCACCAAGGAATCTTTTCCAAACAAGAACCAATCTGGGGAAGTTCTGTGGCTATATAATTACCCTCCTAAAAAGTAACAAATACAGGGGGGGAAAAAGCATACAGAATCAAATCTACTCATTTTAAACTATGCAAAGAAAACACATTTTAAGCGCCTTTAAAATATTTTTATATACAAAGAACAATCTCATACATTTAAAAAACTTTATGAGACACATAACTATATTCTCCAAATCAGAATAGTTCTCATAAGATACCTAATGCTAAGCCTATTTTGATACTGTTTTTTAAAAGGCCCAATTTTAAAAGAATAAGCTTCCTCTAGAAAGAAAAAAAGAGAAGAAGAATTTTGGCCTATTAAAGACAGTATCTATTGATAAAACATAGTATTGTTCCCAAACATTCAATAAAGCATCACTCTAATGCACATTCACTATATGAAATAATCACTTAGTAAAAAAAATTGTGTTATCTCTTAAAATTTTCAGTTCAATTGTTTTTCGTTATAATGAAAAATTTAATGATTGGCTTCAAATCTTTTTTTAATAATGTAAAATATGTGAGCTTCATTCTATGTTAAAGAAAATAAAAATTATATGACCCAAAATCTATTTATTAAAGTTACAATAAAATACTCTTCAATGCATACAAAATTGCAAAGTAACTGATGTTTTTTTCAATAAAGATTCCAGATATAATATTTACTGACAAGATAAAACAAAGATATGTTTAATGACTTTTGTCCTGTGTTAAGGTCACCTTATGGAACGATACATCATGAAATCGATAGTTGTACATCTAGGAAATTTACCAATGGAGCTCTCTTCTACTGGCGTGTATATTTTAATTTGTCTCATGTGGGTGTCTCTTCCATTTTGATGATTGGCTAGAACAGCAATCTGTATCATGAATGTGCGAGTTGGCTTCTTATGATTATCAGTTAAGGGTACGTGAATCCAGCCACTTGGTTCTACCAATTCAAGTTGCTGCCAAGAAAACAAAAGTCAGATTATGTTTTCACCCAATGAATATAATTTATTATAATGAACACACTCTAAAGTTGACTTAAAATTAACTTTCTGCTCACTGAGAGAATGACAATATGATAACAACCATTACCAGTTACTTGGCACTTTTACATCGTGGTCCATTTTTACACTTGCCAATAAGCACTCTACATGTACCATATTAGTAGACAAAATAAAAATAGGTGTATGCAGTCTTAGTGTTTACAGAAACTTGTATAACTTACAAGTTTAGAATCAGACATGTATACATGTATACAGCCAATGGAAGACCATTGTGATATAAGTAGAAAAAGAACCTAACATTATGCTTCCAGTATACTTTATTTCAAGGACCATACCTAATATACTTAAACACATTTAAAAATAAATCAGAGTCTATATAAACTACAAGAATATTAACAAAAAGAAAATCAATCATTAAACAAAATCAAACAAAGCTTTTTTTTTCTTGAACAACAGTAAGTGATTTATCTAGTCTGGATGATATTCTAAACCTAAAATCTAGATTTTTAATAAGAAATGCCAGATAAATTTTTTTTAATTCTTAATTTTATTTTAATCAAGAGTCCAAACTATCCTTCCTTAACAAGGGAAAGAAAATCATAAGTCAACCTCTTTGATCTCAGCCAGCAACTTCTTCCTAGACACATCGCCAAAGGCAAGGGAAGCAAGGGCAAAAATGAACTATTGGGACCTCAAGATAAAAAGTTTTTGCACAGCAAAGGAAACAGTCAACAAAACCAAAAGACAACTGAAAGAATGGGAGAAGATATTTGCAAATGACATATCAGATAAAGAGCTAGTATCCAAAATCTATAAAGAACTTATCAAACTCAACACCCAAAAAACAAATAATCCAATCAAGAAATGGGCAGAAGACATGAACAGACATTTCTGCAAAGACATCCAATGGTCAACAGACACATGAAAAAGTGTTCAACATCACTTGGCATCAAGGAAAGCCAAATCAAAACCTCAATGAGATACCACCTCACACCAGTCAGAATGGCTAAAATTAACAAGTCAGGAAATGGCAGATGTTGGCAGGGATGCGGAGAAAGGGGAACCCTCCTACACTGTTGGTGGGAATGCAAGCTGGTGCAGCCCCTCTGGAAAACAGTGTGGAGGTTCCTCAAAAAGTTGAAAATAGAACTACCCTATGACCCAGCAATTGCACTACTGGGTATTTACCCCAAAGATACAAACGTAGTGATCTGAAGGGGTACATGCACCCCAGTGTTTATAGCAGCAATGTCCACAACAACCAAACTATGGAAAGAGCCTAGATGTCCATCAACAGATGAATGGATAAAGAAGTATACACACACACACACACACATATACACAATGGAATATTATGCAACCATCAAAAAACCCGAAATCTTGCCATTTGCAACGACGTGGATGGAACTAGAGGGTATTATGCTAAGTGAAATAAGTCAATCAGAGAAAGACAAGTATAATATGATCTCACTGATATGAGGAATTTGAGAAATAAGACAGAGGATCATAGGGGAAGGGAGGAAAAAATGAAACAAGATGAAACCAGAGAGGGAGACAAGCCATAAGAGACTCTTAATCTCAGGAAACAAACTGAGGGTTTGTAGAGTGGTGAGGGGTGCGAGGGATGGGGTGGCTGGGTGATGGACATTGGGGCGGGTATGTGCTACAGTGAGCGCTGTGAATTGTGTAAGACTGATGAATCAGAGACCTGTACCTCTGAAACAAATAATACATTATATGTTTAAAAAAAAAGATGGTAGGAAGGGAAAAATGAAGGGGGGGAAATCGGAGCAGGAGACGAACCATGAGAAACTATGGACTCTGAGAAACAAACTGAGGGTTCTAGAGAGGAGGGGAGGTGGAGAGATGGGTTAGCCCAGTGATGGGTATTAAGGAGGGCATGTGTTGCATGGACCACTGGGTGTTATACACAAACAATGAATCATGGAACACTACATCAAAAACTAATTATGTAATGTATGGTGATTAACATAACATAATAAAATGAAATTGAAAAAAAATTATAAGTCAAAACGTAAACCTAGGTTCCTAAAAGTTTTTCTAAAGTTATGAAGTAGTTTTTAAAAGATAATTACTGTTTTCTAAATTATCTTAATTATCGAACACATATAAACTATATACATCACCAAAAATATAAGTTTATCTTAGCAGCACAGCCAAATAGCAGTGTCAAAGAATCTAAATCTGGATTCCATGAGTTAGTTATTCTAGCAAAACAATTAAGTGAATCTTCTTCCACTGTATCTTCTTTTCCTTCCCTCTCTCCCTTTCTTCCTTTTTCTTCTTTTTCTTTCTTTCATTCTTTTTCATTTTTCTCTTCTCCCTTTTCCCTCCTTCCCTCCTTCCCTCCTTCTTCTTTCTTCATTCTTTCATTCATTCTTTTTATAGGAGAAGGGTGGGTAGACAAAAGTAGAGATGTGGACAAGATAAAAAGAGAAGGAATCCTAAAAAAGGGTAATTATTTTTAAGACTGAATGACTTCTTTTAACTACAGAATGTAAGAATGAAGAAATCTTTACTCCTTGTGGTATTTTTAGTCAGTGGTTTTTTTGTTTGTTTTTTAAATAAACTTCTATTAGCACTAACTTAAAATGAAAGAATTAGAGACCAGATATATCTGGTTTCCATCACTAACCTTTTATTCAACCAGGTAGCAAATAGTTATTGAGTACTTAAAATGTTCAAGGTATTTCTCTAAGTATATTTAAGCATACAAAACATGAATAAGGCCTTCTTACTAACCTTAAAACAAGCTCAGAGGCAAACAACCTTCATTTGTTTCATTCAGTTTCCTCAAGTATAAAATAAAGGGATTGGACAAGTTATCATCCAGTGTCCCTTCCAGCTCTGACATTTAATGATTCTAAATAAAAGAAAGATAGGGTAAGCAGAATAATGGAATCCCAAAGATGTCCATGTCCTTTCCCAAAACCTGCGGTTATTTTAACTTACATGGCAAACAGGGCTTTGCAGGTGTGATTAAGTTAAAGATCCTGAGATGAGAAGATTATCCTGGATTTCCTAGGTGGACATAATGTAATCACAAGGCCCTCTTATAAGAGGAAGGCAGGAGAGACAGAGGAGATGTGATGGTAGAAGCAAAGGTTGGAGTGATGTGACCATAAGCCAAGGAAAGTAGGCAACCTCTAGAAGTTGGACAAGGCAAGGAAGGAATGGTTTCCCCCTAGAAATCCCCAGGAAAGAAGGCAGCTTGCTGACACCTTGATTTTAATTCATAAGACCCATTTTTGGACTTATGTCCTCTAGAACTGTAAGAGAACAAATTTGTGTTGTTTTAAGCTACTGCCTGTGTGGTAATTTGTTATAGCAGGTAAAGGAAACTATGACAATAGATATTTGTAGTTCAGAGAACTACAAGAGTTCAGAGAAGAAGAAAGATTTTCTGGGTGAAAGAAGAATCTATTCTCAAGTTAAATGTACTATAATGAACCTCAACAATGAACAACAACAACAAAAAAACTAAGATTCTAAATTCAACTTCTTACTAATAGAATGCTTTTGACAAATGTAACCATTATTTCTGATAGACTCAATGTTATTTTCTTAGGGTATCTTAAATGCTTTAGTGTACTGAAAGTTATATCAAGATTTTGTAGCAGGAGGGAGCTGTTTGGCTAATGTTGGTGTTCCCGAAGGAAGAGCCCTGTGGGGCTGGCATACAGAACTCTTGAGGAGTGGGAGCCAAGTCACTTGTGGTGCTGACATTTCTGACATAGGGTTCGCTAGGCTGGTACTGTGAGTGTTAGAAAAACTGCAAACTGGACTTGGGTATAGCTATGGGAAGGAACTGCTGCTGTGAAGAAACCCTGCTAGGATGATGGAAAGCAAACAGGACACAAACACAAGGAAGTAAGTCTCTTTTTTCTCTTCCTGCCATGCAATCTCCCTCTAGCCCACCTTTTTACCAGAGCTCAACAGATATGCAAGGGCTCCAAACATATCAAATCTTTACTGAGCAACTGTTATGTGCCAAACAATGTTCTAGGGACTGAAAACAAATAAACAAAAAATACAGTAGCAAATAAGACAGATCACACCTGAAAAGAATTACAGAGGTACAAAGAGATAGGATTTAAACATGATAGTAAGACTTCGAGAAAGAAGTTATAATAAAAATACTAGTAGTGAGGAAGAAACAACAACAAAAATAGTCAAAAAGAATAAATCAACATGCTTATAAAATAAAAAGTAAATGCCAATAATAATTCCTCAAAAAGAATGCTAATGATAATAGCAGCAAGCTCTTACCTAGCACTACTATGTGCCAGGTAATGCTCTAAGTGCATTAAGTATATTAATTATTTAATCCTAGCAATGAGGCAGGTAATATTATTATCCTGATGTCACAAATGAGACAACCGAGACAGAAAGGTTAAGTACTTTCAGTGAAGTCACACAGCTGGTACGTGGCAGAGCTGAGATTCAAACAGGCCGTGTGATTCCAGGGACTATGCTTTTAAAAAAACATAATGTGTTTTACATTATATAAAGATAATTTAGAAGTAATAATTTTATCTGAACTCCTATCTTATACAAATAAAACATGAATTAATGAAATATGGGTAGGAGAGAATTCCCCACTAATCTCATCATAATACAATTTCCTTTATATCCTACACATAAACAAACATAGACACAAGATATAAAGGGAATTATAAAAGGAACAACAATAGAATTAAAAATAGAATTTCAATTTTGAAATCTTTAGAGAAAAAAGGTAAATAGTATTATATATACTAAAAAAAAGTTTTTAAAAAGGACATGGCAGGATGTTATACAGAAAGTCTAAAGTAAGTTCATAAAAGATATATGTCTGCATCAAACACCACCTTTAAAAAACTCAGGTTCTTGGGGCACCTGGCAGGCTCAGTCGGTGGAGCATGTGACTCTTGATCTCAGGAATGTGAGTTCGA